TAATAATACTTGAGGGATCCAGGTTGGTCCAATGAGGGGGCAGTAAAAATGCCTCTGGAGAGAGCATATTGCCCACCAGTTAGACTTTGCCCACCCTGGCATATGGACATAACTTTGGGGTGTAAAAAATAGGTGGTCTCTCTTTTTATTAAACAGTAGGCTTTATGTTTTCAGCTATGAATTATGTTCAGCCTTATGAACACTAAGGGTGACTCTACATGGAGATTTGTTCTAGTTTAGTCTCCTCTGAGGACAGCCTAGTTCACTTGTTTTCCTGGTGGCCACTTGATGTAAGTGCCGATCTGTCCTCAGAGGATCTCTAATAATATAATATTCGTGTTCTGTCAAGTCAACCCTGGCTTCTGGGGACTCCTTTCAGGGTTTCCTAGGTAGAGAGTACTGAGAAGTGGTTCATCATTCCCTTCTTTGGGGTGCCCTGGAACTGTGCAGCTTGCCCAAGGCCACAAAGGCTAGCTCTTCTGGGATGCACAATGGGAATTTGAACTCCTAGCTTCCGGTTCCAAAGCCAAATATGTAACTCACTGTGGTAATCAGCCAGTAGAGCATTCCTACCCACATCTTCCCATCGGGGCCAACTCTTTATTTGGGGTCACTTCATTTTTCTTCAGTTGCAGAAGTGAATGTATGGTTATCCCTTCGATGAAGCTAGTTAACGCTAAGGGAGGGTAAGGGTTAGGATGTTTTGTATTTCTTTTTTTATTAACCCATCAGCAATGCTTTGAAAGGTTTTTTAAGCCCTCTCAAAGCATCACTGATGCCCTATTGTTGGACTGCCACAATTGGAAAGAAGTGTAAAACTTCCCCTTCCATCCCCTCCCAAGCTAAGCAGCAAAGAAGATTTAAAGGGAAACTCTCTTGATGAGTTCTAATTCTGCAGCTGCATGCTGTAGTCTCCCTTAGAAATGATCCTGTTTCAAGCTAATTACTTTTGAGTCAGTACTGGAATGTCCTGGGAGGTTTACGTGTTCCCTTAGTGATTCCTAAGTCTTCTCGAAGGCTTTCACAGCCGGGATCCAATGGTTGTTGTAGGTATTTCAGGCTGTTTGGCCGTGTTCCAAATGTTTTTCTTCCTAACGTTTCACCAGTCTCTGTGGCTGACATCTTCCTAAGTGTTATTTCACATTTCAAATTTGCGTTATTTTATCTGTCCAAAACTAATGCGACACTGCTCTGGTTCTTCTCCCCAACAACAGCAAAGCAAGTCTTCGTCCAAAACCACAAGCCATACTCCCCTCCGGCCACACATGCAGAATTGCAGTGCATACAGGACTTCATATACACAGAGATATTTCAATATGGCTAGAACTCTTATACTATATTACTTTGATTGGACAGTTCCATTAGTGTACAAACCTTTGATGTGGGGTGAGGAGGAGTGTTGTAAACTTCTTGAAAAATGTATGGTGTCAAATGTATGACAGATAGTAAATCCAGACCGAACTAAAATAGCATTTTACTTGTTCTGATATTTCAGCCTCTGGCTTATAAAGCTACCACTGGGCATCAGGAAGCCTGGAGAAGCATGCATGAATGACTACCAAAATACTGAATATCTGTCAGTGACCATAAATGTGTAGGCTTATATATTTGAGCCATAACACATCTCTTCTTTTGTTCTTGTTTTCTCATTCGCAGAAGAGGGGAAATGTAGTCTTTTAAGTATACTCAGCTGAATGATGTGCTACAGAAAAGTAGATAGAGAACAGTTTAAGTTTTAGATGACTCTGTAGATTTATAGCAATTTTGAAACTCAGAAAGAGCCGCTCATAGCAGCTAGTTGTGTAGTAAAATTGTCTGAAAAATCCACAAAGCCAAAGAAGAGGACGATATATATGTGATGGAAATATAAATGATGAATCCCCTCGTGATAATCCAGTGTATGGGTCTGTTCTTTTTCCCTCTCCCTGTCCATAAAGCGGTTTTAGGTGAGTTATGACATGGATTAATCTGTAGAATTCTGTACTTTTTGGGACTGTTTCTGGGAGATGGGTTGAACTTTGAAGTACCATCTCCCAAATATGGTAGCAGTATTAGGGGATGTAGATATACTGCATGATGGTGGCAGGGAATGGTTTGCTATCGAATTGCCAGTTGGTGGTCTGACTAATCAATTAGTGGAATGTGTGTTCCTGCAATTAACCTTTTTTTCCTCCCAGTTTCCTCAAAGGAGCATGCCTCAATGATCAGAGTTACAAATTAAACATGTGTTTACTTGCTGGGACTAGCCACGAAACAAAACACGCTGAATGCAACATAAGCAAATGAGGAAGAAAATTCATATGCTGTGACAAACGTGCTTTTTCATATGAGAGAGCACATCTTCTAAAAATTACTAAGCATGCTAAGTGTGGTGTTCAGTCTCAGGTATTCGTAATTGGTAGCAGGCCACAACAACATGTCTTCTGGACATTTGAAGATCTGGCACCCCATCTACATACATTGCTGGTAAACTGACCAGTCAGGAAACTATCTACAGTAATTAAGAAAAATGATTATTTTTCATCAAGGCTTGATCTATAATGGTCAGGCCAACCAAATTACACCATCTGCTTCATTTAAAATGGAATAGGAGAGGGAAAGAGATGGGGAGCAATCCAGGAAATAGCATACTTGCTACTATGTTCTATTAATCTCATTTCTTTCCTTTGGAGAAAAATGTTTTTTTTAAAAGTATTGATACTAGCATCTCTTCTGCCCAATAATAACTACACTCCAAATTTAAGGCCAACATTTTTAGCAAATCAGAGTTTGATGACAATTTTCCTCTTTCAAAGCCAAGAGGAGCTGCTGTGGGGAAATCTCAGATTAAGGCTTGTATGTAAGATTCTTCCCCATTATGTGCATTTATGTACACTCCCTGTTTGGGTTGCAGGCATTGTATGTATAGAATGTGTGTTAAATGTATGATGTGGAACTAGCCCTTACAGTATACCACCATATAAAATTAACCCATTGCTTAAACTCCTGTCACAGTTCTAGCCTTGTGCCCTATGATACTTTCCCAGCTTTGTGAAATAAGCAGATTTCACAAATCTACCCCAAAAATCAGAACTATGACTAATGTATAACTGCCTGCAGCTTTGTTGAGGAGTGATAAATTTCTTCTTTAGCATTAAGCTTATTTTTAAGATTCTGTTGCTGCTGGCATAATCTACTTGATCTTCCATTCCACACCTCTCTGTTTCCTAAGAACTAAGCTAGAAAATGACAGAACCTCAGAGCTGGAAATGACCTCAAAGGTCATGTAGTCTGATCGCTTAATGATGCAGGAGGCTTGCTAATACATTGTCCCTACCAGGTAACTAGTCCAGCTTCTGTGTTTAAAGATGGAGAATAGATTTGACAGCTGAACTGCTCTCTGTGTTTGTGTCTATACTTCATGCTAACTCCATGTTTCTTGAATATACGGTACTTCTTCTGTCTGCTTTTGTTCTGAGTAGATTGCACCATTATTTATACTTATGAGTGTTTGTGTCTATACTTCATGCTAACTCCGTGTTTCTTGAATATACTTCTTCTGTCCGCTTTTGTTCTGAGTAGATTGCACCACTATTTATACTTATGAGAATGTGAACCATTTAGCATCAATAGCCCTATATGTCTAGTTTACACTATACAACACCCCATGAACATTCCATTATGATGATGTTTCATCTGCAGGTAGAGACGTTTTGGGGATTGAGTTGTGTATATTTCTCAATAATACATTTTAAAATTTTATTTATGTTTAGTTTCTCAAGCCCCATCAACTCCATTCTGAATTAGGCTACTCTTCCCAATATTTTTAATGATAAACTTTTTCCCAGTGACTTACCAATCTTGAATTTAGAAGACCAAAATTTCTGAATTAGGCTACTCTTCCCAATATTTTAATGATAAACTTCTTCCCAGTGGCTCACCAGTCCCTTCTTGAATTTAGAAGACCAAAATGTCATGCAATTACATTCTATGCTCTGCAACCAGTTTCTTTTTGTTCTGTGAATGTGTATCTGAAGCATAGTTGTCTATGCTTTTTAAAAAGTTCATAGATATCAGTTGATTCATTCATTTTGTGTAGGGATTGCAGATTTTCATTTCACAACATGGTCACTGGACTCACCAGCTGTAGTTGCCATTTCATTTTTCCCCCTTTCCTTCCCCTCCTTCTTTCCCTTCTTCACTATACAGTACTTGCTTATCTAGACACGCCTAGAGTCTAACTGGAGGATTCTAGAAACTATAGCATAGTCCAGGTCCTAGCTTGTCTTCATTCTAATCAAAGCTTGGAAAGTTTCTTTTTGAAAATAATTTGTTGTATAGATTGTTGCAAAGCCCCAATGTGAGCCACTCCTGCTTTCTTTTTGAAAATAATTTGTTGTATAGATGATTGTTGCAAAGCCCCAATGTAAACCACTCCTGCTACTCTCTCCATGATGAGAGGGTGAGTCTTTGCAGAAGAAGAAGCTTTATTAACAAGCGGAAGGGTAGAAAATGACTTGGGCCAAAAGCCTTTTACAGACGTGGGTGCTGCTAGCCACCCAAAGCAGCACTGGTGCCAAGGGATCTTAACCATGAGTAAATTTTGTTGGATTTGCTAATAATTTGGACAGCACTAATTTACAAATTTCTTCTAGATTCACCACAGTAGGTAGGCTCACATTTCCCAGGGAAGAACACTAGCTCTGAATCGAGGGAGTTAATTATGATGAATGTTTACTGAATTTTGCTAATTTTCCTTTTTAAAGAGTATGTCGATGGAATAGTCATGCACACATGTCTCTTGCATCTGCAAAGCTCTGTGGAAGGATTATATATTCATTAGTTGCTTAGCTATATTGCAATGTTTACATTGCCATCTAATTCAGCAATTAAAAAAAAGCTATGAATGTAACTATATCTTGGATCTCACAATCACTATTTATGACTGATAAATTTATTACACTGGAATTCCAGACAGAAAATTATGTGTACTTACTTGTGTCTTCTTTTTATTGTTTCAGGTTGGGTTTCCCTATGATGATCATGACCTGTATCACTGGAATGTGCTATCTCCTTGTTGCTCACGTTATATTGGGTTGGACCTAAGACTGTGTTTTATTAATTTAATATCCATCGCCATACTAAAGACCAAAAGGCACATTCAAAACATCTTTAAAAGACTGTATAAAAAGGAAGGGAGGAAGAAAAACAATTTGGAAACAAACACACAAAGTCTTTTACACTGCCAGTTGAGACAATGCTTTGTTTATGAGCATGGGAATTCCTCCTTGTATGTTCTCCCGTTCAGTTCAGTGGAGAAAGCCACTTTTTTGCACATTACATCACGTGTCTGTCTCTACTGTAATAAACAAGGTCCATGGTCAAGTCAAATGATCGCTACTTTTTAATGACTGGCAGCTATATATATGATGATGAAAAAGAGCTAAATTGTTGGGATATGTGATTCAAAGATTTCTGTGCAGCATTTGATAGGTTGTACTATCTCAGACACAAGTAGATGAACTGGGTTTTGAACACAATAAAATATACAGACCAACTTCAAAACAAAAACTCTGTTAGAATGCTCTCCTTTGAGATGTCAATTGATGTGCAGTATAAAATCGTATAGCTGAACAAAAGCTGCATCCTCTGATGGCATAGGTAATGTGTTTGAGATCTCAGCCAATGTCCAGTGTGCTCCTTGACCACCTTAAAGAGCTTTTTATTGTAACTGAAGATTTCCAAATAGAATTGAAAATTGTTGGGACTGAGTCAAATGCTTTCCGGGTTCACTCCCACAACCTTCCTTGCCCCTCCTTTCCCTGTGTTTCCACTGGCCACTTTTAAATGGCTTCATACATCCTCAAGATTGTGGCCTACCAGGCATTGTGCACACAATGAAACAGCATTACTGAGAAGTTTGTCAGATTTGGTTTTTTGCTGACATTGACAACAACTAGGATGGGGTCCAGCTTCTTTCAGAAGCCCTACATCACATATCACTTCAAAAAAAGTTGCTTTTGAATTGAATGCCCCCAATCAGCCAGAAAAGATAAGTTTATTTCAATGGTGAAAAAGGACATTTTATGAAAAAGGTGCCCATGTTTGGCTCAATTGTAATTAATATTAAAAGAATTGGTGAGACATTAATATGACAAAGGGTTATATATTTCTCCTGAAATCATGTATTACCATATTGGACGAAGCCACAGATAAAATTCTCTACTTGCTATTTCAGATATTCAGTAATTTCTCACTGGGCTTCCTTTGTCAATATATTTAACTGTTTGTACAAAAGCATCAGATATTCAGCCTGTGCTCGCTGTAGTAGATAAGTAAATAGTCAAGCTATGCATAATGAAAGATACATCATTGTCTGTTTTGGAAATAAATCCATTCAAAGGAGGATTTGAAATAGAAACAATTATCCCTTTTAATTTGGCTCATAGGTTTCAATAAACAAATATTTTCATGGGAAATATGGATGATTATTCTGCACTTAGGTTGGTCTAGATAAATAAAATGGGGGTTGTCTTGGATAATTAGCCTCTCAACTAAATATCAGGGCTGTTTACTTATGACTACATAGGGAATACAGTGGCTTTCATATTTCTGTCAGCCAAGGATAGATACTTAATAGGAATGTGCACTGGCTTTAGATAAATGTATGAAAACCAGGGTATTTGTGCAATTTGGAGGCAAATGATTGCTGACAGGATTCAGTGCCTCCCATCCTCCATGTTAAATACAGCATTTGTGGGGGGTAAATATTTTTTTTTTAAAATGCAGCACAGTTCCAGGAGGAAGTCAGAAGTAATACATTAGCTCCAGAAAGACTCAGCTGGTGCCAAAAGAGAAGAGGAGTGATAGCTGGAACACCCCCATCCCACCACATAAAATCCAAGTTCACTTGAGGGCTCAGACTAAGGCCACATGGCACTCACTATATATCTGCTTATAACAGCTTGGGCAGCTATTTCACATAGCTCTAGTGCAATTTTTTTTAAAAATTGCATTATTCTTGCTAGTGCTATAGATTTTTTTCTTTTTTCATTCTTATCCAACTTAATTTACTAAAATGTGTACTACTAGTGTGTATATGTGACTGTGGATGCATGCCCATATTGTTCTTGTATGGGTTTCAAGTGGCTAGGTCAGAATTAGCATGGTAGAGCATGTGTTTTTCTCTGCTTTACCTCCCCCTCCCCTTATTCATTGGTGTGTTTGTACAAGTCCTGCTGCCTGGTGGTCTTTGTGCCATTACCAGAGGTTTGTCTGTGGGGAGAAATAGAATTCTTTTCCTCTCTCTCTCTCTCTCTCTCATATATGTTTAAGGTCTACCAGGTTCCTAAAATTGATGGTGCTATGTAATACCAGTCCAACCCCAAATTTTGCACTCCTCATCCATTGACACACACACACACACTGAAGTGTGCAAATTCTGTAAGGAATTGCTCCTCATCCATTGACACACACACACACACCGACGTGGAAATGTGCAAATTCTGTTATGAGACCAGACAGGAACTAGGGTAAGGTATCACAGAGTAGGGCAGGCACCAATCTGTGCATCCTTATTCAGGTAGAAATAAACAGTGCACATCCCTCATAGATACAAACTTGCCTCCGCTATTGTTGCTTAAGACAAATGAAGTGTAAGTTTGTTTTTCACTATTTTAAAGGAAAGTCCGATGCTGCAAAGAAAAATACTATTTAAAAGATGACACGGTTAAGGTGCTACATTCAATATGTCAGCAAGTTTGGAAAACTCAACAGTGGCCAGAGGACTGGAAAAGATCATTCTACATCTCAATCCCAAAGAAGGGTAGTGCCAAAGAATCCTCCAACTACCGTACAATTGCACTCATTTCACATGCTAGCAAGGTTATGCTCAAAATCTTTCAAGGTAGGCTTCAGCAGTATGTGGACCGAGAACTCCCAGAAGTACAAGCTGGATTCCGAAGGGACAGAGGAACTAGAGACCAAATTGCTAACTTGTGCTGGATTGTGGAGAAAGCCAGAGAGTTCCAGAAAAGCCTCTACTTCTGCTTCATTGACTATGCAAAGGCCTTTGACTGTATGGACTACAACAAACTACAACCTTAAAGAAATGGGAGTGCCTGACTACCTTATCTATCTCCTGAGAAACCTATATGTGGCACAGGAAGCAACAGTTAGAACTGGATATGGAAACACTGATTGGTTCAAAATTGGGAAAGGAGTACGACAAGGATGTATATTGTCCCCCAGCTTATTTAACTTATATTTAGTTTATATTGATTGCTCTCCTCTCCCCCGGTAAAGGGTTCCTCGCGGCTCAGTGCCAAAAAATGGCGCCCGCTCCAGTCCGTGCACGGTGATTTCTTCAGAAGAAAAAAGTCCGGGTCTGCCTCCCTTTCTTCTCCTTCTGCTGCTCACCATCTGCTTCAGAGAGACTTCTTCTAGACTCTCCTTTGATCCCCATTTCAAAAAGGGGATCCCGGGCCGGAGGGTTCCAGCTTTTTCCAGAGAGCTCCTCTCTGGAGTTGCTGGCAGCACCGCAACAAAGCCCCACCTCTCAAACCTATCCATTTGGAAGGAAATCAACCCCAAGTGCTCACTGAAAGGACAGATCCTGAAGCTGAGGCTCCAATACTTTGGCCATCTCATGAGAAGAGAAGACTCCCTGGAAAACACCCTGATGTTGGGAAAGTGTGAAGGCAGGAGGAGAAGGGGACGACAGAGGATGAGATGGTTACCATATCATCGTGTCATGATACGGTAACCATCGATGACCATACATGTCATCGTAGCCAACAACATGAATTTGACCCAACTCCGGGAGGGAAGACAGGAAGGCCTGGTGTGCTCTGGTCCATGGGGTCACAAAGAGTCAGACATGACTAAACAACTAAACAACAACAACAACATTTTAAACTGTTATTTGAAGGGAAAGTGTTTGACACTAGAGCAGGGGTTCCCAGCCTTGGGCCCCTGATGTTCTTGGACCACTCCCAAAACTCCTGGCCAGCATAGCTAGTGGTGAAGGCCTCTGGAAGTTTTAGGACAAGAACATCTGGGGACCCAAGCTTGGGCATCACTGCACCAGAGAGAAAATGAATACATCTGGGAAATGCTTTGAGATGTTCAAGATATTGTTCCACATATGTGATGGTCGCCTATGTGATGGTCGCCACCTCGAGTGGTCCATCGGTCCAGATAGGTGGGGTATAAATCAAATAAATAAATAAAAATAAAATATGGTCATAATCCAAGGGATATGGTAACCATCAATGACCATACGTGTCATTGTAGCTACCAACATGAATTTGACCCAACTCCGGGAGACAGTGGAAGACAGGAGGGCCTGGTGTGCTCTGGTCCATGGGGTCACGAAGAGTCAGACATGACTAAACAACTAAGCAACAACAATAACATTTAATGCATTCTTTTAGGAGGGAAAGTGTTATTCGTAGGGAAAGTGTTTGCTATTAGAGCAGTGGTTCCCAGCCTTGGGCCCCTGATGTTCTTGAACCACTCCCCAAACTCCTGGCCAGCATAGCTAGTGGTGACGGCCTCTGGAAGTTTTAGGACAAGAGCATCTGGGGACCCAAGCTTGGGAACTCCTGCACCAGAGAGAAAATGAATACATCTGAGAAATGCTTTGAGATGTTCGAGATATAGTTCCCCATATGTGATGGTCATAAGCAACTGGTGGTTCAGATGTCCTATTTCCCTTGAGTTAATCCTGTGTTTATTTACAATGCAGTGCAGCTCTTTTGCAAAAGCACAATAAAGTACACTGAATGCATGTTTGGTTTTGTCCAATAAGCATGTTGTCTTTTTTAAGACTGTGTCTGGAGGCCCATTATACTCATATAACAAGAAAAATCCAAAATATGCAGCATTTTCTATATTACAACACCGTGAAAAGAGATTTCTACTTATTGAAGACAAGGAATAAGGAGGATTCTACTATTCTTCCATGTTTTGGTTATAAATTGTTCAGTTAGTGAGATACTACCTCAAGAATAAAATTACAATTTACCTGTCCTTCGACAAATGCATATCTATTGAGCCAACTGTGTTAGAGACATGTGTTTTGGTTGTCGGATTAAATAAAATAATTTACTGTATTATGGCTTGAATTCAGACTTAGTGAAGGAGCTTAGGGAGTCTTAGGCATGAAATCAATGAATATGTTTCAAGTATAGATCCAAACCATTGTATAGTAGGCCCTTCTGTTACCCATGAAGATCAGTGAGATTTATAACAGAGCTACTGAAATGATGATTTTTCATGATTAAGCATCAATACAACCTGTAATTAATGCTGTACATGATTAAGTATCAATGCAACCTGTCAAGCCCTTCAAGTATGGAATCATTCATGCTTTGATCTTGTTGCTCAAGTTTCTTTTTTGAACTAGTCAAGAGCACTAGTTATTCCTTTGTTCTGTCTGACAAAAATAATCTATTGAAAAATACAACCTTCAGCATATTTTTAATGTGGAATGTGTTGCTATCCCTGTGTGACAGAACAAGTATACTGAGAGGAAGGCCTGTATCTGCACTACTTGGTTATATTAGTTTTGTGCCACTTTTATAATCATGCGCCCATCCTAATAGGATTTGTGGTTTGGGGGAACGAGAGCTACTTGCTAGAAAACACTAGCACCTCCCTCTTAGATTGTAAAGAATACTCACTAAATTTTTTTATCCTTGCCAGTTTAACCAGTGTAGATGCAACCCCATGATGAGGAATTTTAAAGGCCTATGGTATTCCTTTGTCTCTGTAGTATCATTTCCACTGGAAAAGCAAAGCATGCGCACCCACAACAATGGCTCATTGCTCACAAATACCTTGTTGAGTCTTCTCATCCTTAGAAGTCCATTCATGAAAGCTGCAACCATCATTCTGTGAAAGATGCATTATTAGCTCTCAAGTGTTATTTCGTCTACCATTTCTTACTCTGTAGGGGAAAACTCGCTCTCTTTCTCTTGTCAAGAGTGCAACAAACTGCTCTGCAAGGAGAATAATTTCACAGTTCCTCATCATCGCCTGTGAAGACAAGCCATCCTTACTGTCTAACTGAGAATACACTACACTGCTGCACATTTGTAGGATGTACCTATGATGGTTAAAATGGTATGAAACTGATACAATGGTGCAGTGGAGATACACTGCTAATGGCCATACAATCCATATTTAAACTGCTTTATGTGGCCTCCGTAACTGACTAGATAGCATTTCGGTGCAGAATCAGGGGTTAGGAGTTTGATTCCTCACGGTACCTTCTGGGAGAAAAGCCAGCCCTTTTAGCCTTGGGCAAGCTGTACAGTCCCAAAGCCACCAGTAAACTGCTTCTGCACACTTTATGCCTAGAAAACATTGGAAAAGGTCACCCTAAATCAAAATCAAC